AAACTGCTGCTTCTGTTTCCAGTCCAGATTTCTAGAAATTAAACCCTGCCGCCGTCGCCTCTTCCCCGGGGCCACGCTCAGGGGCGCCGCGCTCGTCCGCGACCGTAGCTGTGCCGCCGACCCGGTGCCCAGCCCCCGGGGCCCAAGCGGCTGCCGCTGCGGCTCTCCGGCTCCCTCCTCTGAAGCACGGGTCCCCTCGCAGGGGCATGCAGAACGACCCCAGAGCAGGCTCTGCCCGAGGGTGCAGCGGCGAACAGGCGACCCAGGCGCTCAAGGCTGCGGTCCAGCCTTTGGAGGACAGGGCTCGGCACGCAGCCCAGCTCCAACCTCTAGGTGCGGCTGCCGGACAATGTAGCCATAGCCATCAAGACAGCCGGCAGAAAGCAAATGGCGGCTCCCGCGGAGTGGATTTTCAGCCCAGAAACCGCAGCCCAGCCAACGATCCCAATCCACAAACTCTCCCTGTATAAAAAATATTAAAAAAAAAAAAAAAGGCGGGGCGCACTGAGCTTTCTTTGCCTAGGGTACTTACAATCAACTGCTGATTACACATTCACCTTTTCTGCCCGGAGCGAAGGGAAAGAGGAATGTGATTAATTCTCTTATCTTTCCTTTGTTTCTGTAGGACAGCTGTGCTGGATTCACTATTCTTTGTTCAGTTTTTCCTTTCAGCATTAGAATATACTATCCTACTCTACTGTCCTGTAAGAGTTCTGCTAATAAATCCTTTGCTAGCCGTATTGAAATTCCCTTGCATGTTAAACGCTTCTTTTCTCATTCTGCTTTCAGGATGCTGTCTTTGAGTTTTGGCAGTTTGAATATAATATATCTTCATGGTTGAGGGTTGCAGAATTGGTTGTCTTGTTGAATTTAATCTGATTGGAGACATTGACCTTACTGTGCTGGTCTCTCTCTCTCTCTCTCTCTCTCTCTCTCTCTCTCTCTCTCTCTCCCTCCCTCCCTCCCTCCCCCTCTCTCCCTCCCTCCCCCTTTCTCTCTTTCTTTCCATGTCCCAGTTTGGGGATACTATTCATTAAATAAGATTTCTACCCTTTTATTTTTCTCTTTCTTGTCCATTTATGGCTCACAAAGTTGCTATTTTGATTATCCCATAAGTCTTGCAGTACTCCTTCATTTATTTTTATTATTTAATCTCTTTGTCTTATGACTGTATTTTCAAGTAACTTGTCTTTGAGTTCACAGTCCTTCTGTTTTATTAGTTTTAATTATATTTTCAGCTCTAGCAATTCTTTTTTTAATATATTTATTTTATTTGTTTATTTATTTATTTTTATGTGGTGCTAAGGATCAAACCCAGTACCTCACCAGTATGAGGCAAGAGCTCAACCACAGAGCTACAGTCCCAACCCTCATTCTGATCAATTATTGTATTTATTTTGGGTGTTGTTTGCATTTCATTGAGAGGTTTCTCTGTTGTTGCTTTTCTTTTTTTCTTTCTTTCTTTTTTTTTTTTGAAGTTCACTGAGTTTTCTTAAAATATGTATCTTGAAGAATTTTTAATCAGACAGTTTATTCCTCTCCATTTTCTTAAGGCCAAAGCTGTTTTATTTTGTGCTTTTGGTGATATCATGTTTCTTTTTTTCTTAATCCTTTTGGCAATGGATTGGTATCTGCACTTTTGAAGACATGATTTTGCAAACTGACTTTGTCTGGATCAATTCTTCACCAGTCAGCTAGTTCAGAGATTCTGGACAGGCTTTCTGGCATGATCCATGGGCAAGCTTGCTGCTGCCACACTAAGGCTGGCTTGACTGGTGCCTGAGTCAGCAAGGACTTAGAGCCTGAATCCAATTGAGGGAATTTGTTGATTTGGTCTCCTGGAGTGGGTCTGGAGCTTGTTACTTCCAAGGATTGACTTAAAACCTGTGACCATTTGACACCAAGGCAAACCTGGGACTGTTGTGTATAGGCCTGATACTGAGGGCTGTGTGGGGCCAAAGGGTACTGAAGTCAAACCAGTAGTAGTAGAGACCAGAGATCAAGTCTGCACCATAAGCCTGAAATCTAGGACTGTGAGGTCTGGTCTGGCATCAAGGTGGATCTAGAGGTTCCATTCCTGGTTAGTTTAGGAATCTGGGGGTATTGAGGTTTGGGTATGAAGTATCCCCCCACCAAAAGCTCCTGTATTAATGCAGGATATGAAGTGATTAGATTATGATAGCTATTGTTATGGGCTGACTTGAAAATTAGCCCAGACTTACTCCATTTTGTTCAGACACCTCACCCTATGTGAAATTGGTCCTCCTTCTACATGAGCCCACTCACATAGAAGCTGACACCTCTACCATCACCCACTTGCACCCTGACCACTATATCCTTGAACTATGGAATTAATGCAAGCTTGTTTTTCTAAAAATGTGCTTCTGATAATATGTAGTTTTTCACTTTATGAAATGTATCTTGTGATTATAATTGCCTCTTCTGTCCCCCCTTCTTTGTGGTTTTAGTCCTTATAAGCTGGTTCCCACCCCCAATCATGGTTGAGGATTGTAGAACTGCTTGCTCTCTGTGCTTTTGACCCCAGCCAGAATAAATCCTTTGTATTTTGCTTCAAAAAGACCTGAAGTTTTATTTGGGACTTTGGAATAGTGTTTCAAAACAATAACCTGTTCAGTGAATTAATTCAATTAATAGATTAATAATTTAAATGGATTAACAGAGTGGTAACTGTAGAGAAGTGGGGTGTGGCTGGAGGAACTAGGCCACTGAAGGCATGCCTTTGGGGTTTATATTTTGTCCTGGTGCCTTGCTCACTCTCTGATTCCTGTCTGCCATGAGGTGAGGAGCTTTCCTACACATTGCCCTTCTACCATAATTTTCTGCCTCAGATGAGACCCCAAGCAATGTATTTAACTTATCATAGACAAAGACCTCTGAAACCCAAATAAACTTTTCCTCTTCTAGGTTGTTCAGGTCATGTATTTGGTTCACAGTGACATGAAGCAGACTAACATAGGGGGCCTGCCTGGTGTTGGATTTTAATATGATGGGCTCAGTATTGGAATCCAAGGCAAAGTCCTGTATTCATTTCCCTCCATTTTCTTCAAGTGGACAATAGGTCTCTCTGGGCTGTGCTGCTTGGGGTTGGGGAAATGATATGCAGATAATATAAGACTATGCTCTCTACCCTCTTTAATGTGTCTACACCTAGGTATCTTGATATCATACCTTGTTTCCTTAGCACTTGTGAAGATATTTTCACATATGGATATTTGTTCAGACTGACCTTTCTTCAAGGCTATGATCACTAAAGAGTCCTATTCTCCATCTTCCTCCCTGTTATTATCAGCAAAATTCTCATAAATAGTTTCTGGCAAATGGGGACAGTTGAATCAAATCTCTATATTTAGAAGAGGCATGATTTTTTTGGTCCAAGAAATTTGCTTCTGAGCTTCTCCTCACCTAAACTAGTTCTGAAAGTTCTGTTTATTCATCTTCTCTCTGGCTTCTGCATGCCCTCATGTGTATTTTTGGATGTTTTTGGTATCTTCCTTTTATTCCTTCTATTCTTCATTTAATAAGAGTTTTTATCATAAATTAATTTGATCAGGTGTTTATTAACTGCATCTGAGAGATAATTTTGTAGATGTTCTCCTTTAATAATTTCTTTTTCAAAATTTATTTATTTTAATTTTGAGACAGTGTCTCGCTAAGTTGCTAAGGCTGGCCTCAAACTTGCAATTCTCCTGCCTCAGCCTCCCAAATCAAAGGGGTTAGAGCCATGCACCACAAACTCTCAGCTTTTAATCTTTTAATGTGAGGAATCATATTAATTGGCTTTCTAAGATTAGTTTCACATCCAAATTGAAGATTTTGCTTGCAAGTGTGTGCATACAAATAAATGTTATTTTGTAATATTTTTGCATTTATAAGGAAAATGTATCCACGATTTTCTTTTACCAGTCATTATTGATGTACTTTCTATGTTCCAGACACTATTATAAGCCCATTATTAAATTATCTTATTTGATACTCAGGATTACAAATGAGGACACCAACATTCCTAAAGTAAAACTATTTTGCTTAGATTCATACTGTTAGTAAATACTAAGGCTGAGAATCAAGCACATCTCTCTGAATATAAAGCCTATTTATATAAACTCTATGATAAAAGAGACACACACATAGCAAAACTCCAATGGGTATTAACAATGGTTATCATTGTGTGATGAAATAATAGATAACTTTCTAATTTATGAACTTTCTTATATTGCAAGTTTTACATGCAATTTTTATGATGAAATAGAATAGTCACATAAAAGCAATACAAGCCTGTGAAGAATGAAAACTGAACTGACTTTGATTCCAAAATTATGTAAAATCATACATAAGTATTCATCAAGAGTCCTCAAAACAATGAAAAAATGATAATCTGAGAACAGAGATATAATTACTTCAAAAATCGCATGGAATGAAATACTTCTGAAAAGAGTGTAGATCTGATACATATAATGGATATAATTATGATAGAAATAATACAATAGGGAATTAGATTGGGATTTAAATCATAGTTCTGTAACTTGCCATATTTCTAACCTTAGTCTAATTATTCCCATTGAGACTCATTTGTTTCCAGTATAAACTAGAGAAAATAAGACTAATTAATTAGCAAACACACTATCTTAATAAATCAGGTACCTAAAGAATCTAGAACACAAATGTTCAATACTCTTTACTATTTACATTGCTTTTATTTCTTGAAAACAGTTATTCACAGTAGTTCTTTCATTATGTGTGAGTAGCATTTATTTTCATGTGAGAATGCCTTCTTTTTACATATGTTCAAATGCCTTCTTTCAACAATAGAAGGACTTAACATGTTAATGCCCTAAGATTTAAATAACACTTAGAATTATGTGTTATTTAATTGTTTTCATTGTTTTCTGAAATAGAAGTCAGAGAAATAGAAAAGAGTAGTTAGTCTTCAAAATTGGTGAAAAATTATTGCATAATTATAATTAACATGTTGATGACTTCAGATCATAGAATCCGCACTGCGACAGCTGGAATCCATGCCCACTGAAGTAGAAGAATTTGTGGAACACTTCACTTTTTTGGAAGCGATTTCATCCAAAATATTTCAATTAGAAGATGAGTACTTCACAATTAATCAGTTGTATTCTGTTGTGAGACATTACCATTTATATATTTCAGAAGAGCAAATTGCCATATATAAAATTCTTTTTGGCAAGTTTTGTCAACTAAAAACAACTATAAAGTTAAATAAAACAAACAGGGAGGCTGCCATAACAAAATTCAGGGAAAAATTGGAAGCAAATATTGCTGGTCTACGAGTGGACGTTAGTAATTTAAAAGCCAACGTAAGTTTTTTGTTTTTTCTCACCAAAAACTTGATCTTCCCTTACTATGCATATAGATATTTGCTTTCTGTGGTATCATAACTAAAAAATTTTAATCCAGTATTCTTAACCTGGGATTCACAGTATGTTAGTAATATGTGAACTCCAATGGGAAATAAAATTATATCTCTATTTTCAGTAACCTCTAACTGGAATTTAACATTTTCTTCATCTATGAATGAATGTAGGCAACCATCAGCAGCAGAGCTGCTAACTTACCAGAGGCTTCAAGAGTCCCAAAGGAACCTTTAGCATAAAAAAAAAAAGGCTAAACCCCCTGAAACCTTTTTAGGTCTTTGCCTGAGCCTAATGTAATGATAGTTCCAACTTCACTTATCATGTTAGATCTTGGATTATATACTAATGTAATTGTCAGCAAAATGTGTAATTTCTGAATGTTTTGGTTTCTGAGAATGTCTGACTATTGTTGTTTTTTAGATAGGAACTCCTGTTCTGTTTTTTATTGGTACTGGAGTGCAAACAGCAATGGAAATGATTCGGACTTTCTCAGAGGAAGCTGCAAGTTTGGTTAACAAAATTAAAACCTACTCAAGCTACCAGGATCATTTTGATGATCACCAATATCATATGCATTCTCTTAATATGGAAGAAATTACAAATATTGTGCTCTCAGAAATCTCTGACATTGAATGTGACTTAAGTTTGAGGAAAATGTTATGGGAAGCACAAGACGAATGGGGAAAGTACTTTTGGGAATGGAAGAAGTGTTCTCTTCAAAGTATTGATGTAGAATTAGTACAGAGAATTGTTACAAAATTGCTGAATATAATCATTGTACTAGAAAAAGGTAAAAATGTGTTTCTCAAATTTTCTCACTCACCTAGGATTACATAAAATATGGCCTCTGGGCAATGTAATCATTGTCTTTGGTTGACCATTATGGCTAGAGGAACAATATAGTAGTTTAGATAGGAATTATTTGCTGAAACAAGAGATTAAAGCTTTGCCAATAAAAATAAGAAGAAGTAATAACAAATTTTGTTTCCTTTAAAAGTTGATATTGCATGAAAATCCAGGGAACCAGTAGAGTAGAGGAAAGGAGCTAGGTGGAGAGAAGAAGAGAGAAAAGGGGAAAATACTGGAGAATAATATTGGACAAAAAATACATTGTTATATTGTGTACATATATGAATTTGCAACAATGAACCCCACCATTATGTATAATTATAATGCACCAATAAGAACATTAAAGAATTTTTTAATAAAGTAAACAAAAGTCAATTCTGTGGTAGAACTCCAGACACTTGACTCAGATTCTAACTCTTGCTAGAGTATTTGTCCAGAGGTATTTTAATGATAGAAGCCCACCTTCAGAATCTTTACCCAAATTCTATACTATGCCTATGGTATCTTTTGGGAAGTGTGGGAAACAACTAAAAAAGTCATTCTGAGAGGTTTCCCTGGTGCTAATCATCAAATTTGAAATTTTGCCAATGGAGAGAGACTTTTTCCAAGAGGATTCTATAAGATCATATCCTTTCCAGGAGGAAAGTTTTGTTTCACCTAGCCAAGAGATTGTTTTGTTTTTGTTAGACTCCTAGCTTATCACTCAGCAAAACCAACAAAAAAAAAAACCCTGAACAAACAATACAAAATTTTATTTTGCTTATCCCTAAACTATAGAAGAAATAAAGCTATCACAAATTTTTTAGAAAAAAGAAAAACTAGCTGCACATCAGTCTCACCGCTTTAAAATAATACTCATTGTATGCATTCTCAATGTTTTGCTATGTACATGTCTCAGAGAACAATATATGAATCAACAAGTAGACAACACATTCCTATAGCCATAGTTTCACAGATATAATCTTGTTTGCCAAAGTTGAAACTGGCAAAATCTAAAGTTTGCTTGTTCTTTCTCTCTCTCCTTTTTATTTTTATTTATTTAGTCATACATGACAGTAAAATCAATTATGATATAATTATACAAGCATAGAATATACCTTATTCTAATTAGTGGGTGTGCATGATGGTGGAATTCATTTCAGTATTTTCACATATGTACACAGGAAAATTATTCATTCTACTGTCTTTTTTTTTTCTGGGTACCAGGGATTGAACCCAGGGTCCTTACCCACTGAACCACATGCCCAGCCCTTTTCATATTTTATTTAAAGATTAGGTCTTGCTGAGTTGCTTAAGACCTCACTAAGTTGCTGACGCTGGCTTTGCATTCACTATCTTCCTGTCTCAGCCTCCCAAGCTGCTAGGATTACAGACATGTGTCACCACACCTAGTTCTACTGCCTTTTCTATTCCTATCTCCCCTCCCTTCCCTTCATTCCTTTTGTCTAATCTACCAAACTTCTCTTTTCCCTCACCCTTTATTGTGGTTTTAGCTTCTACATATAAGCAAAAAACATTTGACCTTTGGATTTTGGGGACTGGCTTATTTCACTTAGCATGATAGTCTCCAGATCTATCCATTTACTGGAAAATGCCATAATTTCATTTTTCTTTATGGCTGTGTGTGTGTGTGTGTGTGTGTGTTGTGTGTGTGTGTATAATGTTATGTGTGTATTTCTATTTCACATTTTCTTTTTTCAATATTTAATTTTTAGTTATAGTTGGATATAATACTTTTATTTCACTTATAAATAAGTGAAGATCAAACCCAGGGTCTCACACATGCAAGGCGAGTGCTCTACTGCTGAACCACAACCCCAGCCCATGTATATCACATTTTCTTTATCCATTTATCCATTGAGGGGCACTTAGGTTGGTTCCATAGCATAGCTATTGTGAATTGAGCTTCTATAAACATTGATGTGACTGTGTCACTGTTGTATGCTGATTTTAAGTCTTTTGGATATATATACTAAGGAGTAGGATAACTGGGTCAAATGCTGGTTCCATCCCAATTTTTTTGAGGAATCTCCATAGTGCTTTCTATAGTGGTTGCATCAATTTGCAGTATCACCAGCCCTGTATGAGTGTACCTTTTCCTCCACATCCTCACCAACATTTATTTTAAGTTGTATTCTTGATAACCGTCATTTTGACTGGAGTGAGGTGGAATCTCATTGTAGTTTTAATTTGCATTTCTCTAATTGCTAGATATGTTGAACATGAACTAAACAGACACTTCTCAGAGGAAGAAATACAAAAGTTGTCAAATATAAAATTCTTCTCTTGATCTCCTATTTAACCAGGTCTTGTAAAACATTTTACTATTCAGTGTAGGTTTATAGAAGAAACTCCATCTGTACAAATTTGTTTTTTAAGATTATTGGTATAGTTTTAGTTTTTCAGGGTCCCCAACTTGGGCTGTTTCTCTATTGCCTCCCCATTTCTTTTATATGTTGAGTAAAAGGTTATAAGAGATGAACCTTCAACTGCTTAGGCTTTGAGTTCTGTACCTCAGTTGTTTTCAAGGACCAACCAATGATGACATATGAACAAGTCATCACCTACATTTCAGTGTTAAAATATTTTCTTTGTGAAATAATAGAAATGGTGGATTTTTTTCCCCCTCGGCGTTTTTTCTTTATTTAGAAAATTTTCAAAGTCCCCAAACCTGTGACAGACTTCTGAATGTCCATTTTTGTTCCATCTGTATATCTATCTTGTCAGTAAAAATTTGGGAAATCCTGTGGTAGTGGGCATCCTTCTTATCACATTTCCAAGGTAAGTTGGCTCTGAGAGTCTTAGGTTTTAGTTACTATTCTTGACAACCATTTCTCTTTATTTTAATCCACAGTTGATTCATATGGAAGGGTAATGTTAAAGGCCATTATCTTATATTATAATGCAGACACAAAACTGATAGAGTAGTATTACATAACATTAGCAAATCTTAAAGGGAAAATTTTATTTTTTAAATTCATTTGGTTAAAAATGAACATATTGAAGCCTACCGATTTTTATTGTTATTTATAGGTTTACCTAAAAATGATTTGTTAACACATCTTAAGCAATCAGTGACAGATTTTAAACAACATCTACCAATCATCACAGCATTGGGAAACCCCTGTCTCAAGCAGAGGCACTGGGAGGCTCTCCAGGAGATTATTGGAAAGTCAATTAACCTAGATAAAAACTGTACTGTGGAGAATCTTCTAAGCCTCAAGGTAAATATAGTTGGAAAGCAATAGAATGAAATCCTAGAGCAGCCAATTGTAAGTAGGCAAGTAAATCTATAAGGGATTGGAATTAGAAAAGATAAAAGTATATAACATGTCTGGGAAAATAGTAGATAATATATGATAGGATCTTATGTAAAATTGGAAGTAGTGGGTAAGCTACTCATTTATGCTGTTGTCATCTAGACGATTAGAAAATAGTAATACTGGTTCTCATATGTGACAAATTCAATAATTTAACAATTCTACTTCTTATAGAACAGAAATTTATACATTTATAGGGACCGAAAAATCAAAAGTACTGCATCTGATTTTATATAAAATGTAAGTATATCAAGAGTATTAGGATGGCTACCAACAATTTGATATTATATCTGAAATGTCTAGTTAGCAATGACTTGATTTGCCATAAAAATTATGATTTTTTTCCAGTTTTTTTGGAGGTAAAAAGTTTTCTATTTTCCTTACTAAGTTATAATATGCTTCTTTTATCTTTAAAGTACACATACTATAATCAAAACCAGCATTGCATCTATAATTCTATTGCACAGAAGAACATGGGGAATATTTTAAGGAATTTAAAAAGAAGAATTTTTAAAGATAACTTTGACTTTTAAAATTAGTTTATATTTCCAGTCCTAATCTAAACCTCTCTCCTGAATTCCAGACTTGTATATCCAATTTTCTATTGACTTCTCTAAGAGATATCTCAAAATTAACCTCTCGTAAATTTTACTTTTGATTCTCCATCTCCCCAATTCGACTTTTCCTCGGTCAGCATTCCCATCCCAGCTACTGGCAGCTCCATTCTTCCAACTACTTACACCAAAAATTATGAAGTAATTATTAAATCTTCTCTTGCTCTTCTACTCTGCTTCCTATCTGAATCTATCATACTTTCTTATTGCTCTAGCCTCCTAAACAATCTATATGCCAAAGATAAATTCAGTCAGATATCTAGATAATTGCAGAACATTCAGGGTCAATGCCAACAGGGGAATCCTCAGGCCACCATGCTGAAAATCAAGCACAATTTCATTGACAGTTTCATTTTTCAAAGGCTTGGATTAATGGAACTATAACTGGGCAAGTTAAGTTGAGGGTAAGAATTTATAAAACTGAGAGAAGCAGCAAAAATAAAATTAGGCTAGACAAAGATAGGAGCAGAAGGAGGCTTACATGGGATTGGTGGCCTATAATATCCCAGAGGGCTCCAGTGAGCTATCCTCACCTTTCTAACTTGAATGGTTAGCTTCAAAGGGATATCCCTTGCAGTCTGGGGAGGGTCCAAATTAGTTGAACAGGACATCTTAACAAAAAAGAACATATTTTCAACCCTAAAGTACTGTGTAGCCAGGCACTAAAGGAACTCTTCTTCTTAAAGTGAACTATAATAATAGAGGGAATGAAGTGGCCATCAGCAGGCAACCTCAACTGATCTCTGAGAGTTCCTGGATGGTTTGGGTCATCCTGTGGAAATTGAACAATTTATCAAATATCTATAGGTGCATAGATGGTCAGGGTTTGGCCTAGAAACTCATCCCTAATTTTTTAAAACCTGAGTTTCTTGGGGTTGACCCAGAGATAATAATCATGCAGCCAAACTTTCTAGGATAGGTCCTAATCCTGTCAATATCATATGACAACCATTCTGTCCAAGATGTCATACAAGCTCTGAGAAGCCAATCACATGAAAACATGTCATAAAGTTAAGAGAAAGAGGTCAATGGTTTACATAAATGAACATTATCTCTTTATGGTTAATCATTTCCACTTTAGAAAGCTTTGTGTTTTATAATAGAGCTAGATGGTGCCACAACATGCAACTATGTTATTCAGAGTCACTCCAGGTGAACTTGGGTTGGGACGAAATAACTACACTAAGACAGAGAAAATAACTTTTCCTTGGGATTCTTCAGAGATGGCTCCTCTACTCTAGCTCCCACAAGGGAGGCAGAAAAAAGAGGAGGAAGATGCTCTGAAGTCCCTTTTTACTGAGGGGAAGACACTCAAGAAAGTTCCACCCTAATTAGAGAGGTCAGGTTTCAAGGGATTGAGTCTAGCTTCATGATGTCTTATGGTCAGCAGATTGACATCTTTGAAGGCCACACCCATCTCAGGTACTCTGTGGGGATCATAGGCAGAGCAAGCGAAAAGGACACATATGTCGCCAGCCCAAACAGAGAGGCAACATCAGTCCAGTCCACAAATATACTCATGCTCATAGTTCACACACATACAGCCCATGGCTGGTTCACCACAAGATGGTTCATTATAAGCATTAAGATTCATCTGAAACTTCTCAGATACTTATTATAGGAAAACAAAACTATTTGTCAATCAGTTTCCAAACTATTGACTATAAAGACTTAACAGTGTTAGATTCACTTGGTTGAAATTTTGCCTTACATGATCAATATCTGGATTTAGTTTTGAATAATCTCAGAGTGTTAGTCACAAAATCCTTTCTTGGGGCTGGGGTTGTGGCTCAGTAGTAGTGTGCTCGCCTAGCATGCATGAGGCACTGGTTTCGATCCTCAGCACCACATAAAAATAAAGACAATAAAGTCCATCAACAACTAAAAATATATTTTTTAAAAAATCCTTTCTTTCTGATAGTCCCATGGCTTTTTATCTGTCTTTGGCTGAATAATGTATGTTAAAAAGTAAGCCTCTTTCCCAAAACTGTTTGTTAAGACCATAAGCAGTCAGCTGATTTCACCATCCTTACCCCATCTTTGGCAGGTTTATAAGAAATTATGAAAACTAGTCATGCCTGCCCATACACCCTGCTGAGCTGCATGATCAAAACATAGAGATTAGATATCATTCTTCAGTCCCATGAAGGTGACACATGGGAATAGTGGTAGATTCTGTTGATATTTGTTGATTAATTGTATATCATCTTCTGAGAAGCATCTGTTCAGTTCCTTGGACCATTTATTGATTGGGTTACTTGGGGTTTTTTTGTGTGTTAAGGTTCTTGAATTCTTTATATATCCTAGAGACTAGTGCTCTATCTGATGTGCATGTGGTAAAAATTTGCTCCTCAAAAAAATCAATCATTATAAACTATACAAAACATTATAAATACATACATGAATAACAAAAGTATATTTCATACACGCAACACATACTTTGTTATTTACATCTCAATATTTATTGAGGTTAATAAAAATGTAAACTACTAAAGCAGTAATGATAGGAATCTTTTATATAATTTTCTTTAAAATAAAACCCAAAAGTATATGCATAAAAAAGAATGCCATCTGCACATACACAATAGGTATATATTATTACATTGACTACAATAAGAAAAATAATTAATTTTCACTAAGAATGAAGAATGTGAAATAGTTAGAATAATTAAAAACTGAAAAGCACTATGTCATTCAGATTTTGCCATTAAATCTCAAGTTAAGATATAAACTTAACTGGAATCAGTTCTTCAATTCTTCTGATGAACCTTTTAAAACATATATTTAGATCGTCCATGTTAAATGTTTCAGGAATTGTTTGCTCCACCTAATATTAAATAATAATATGTTCATTTCAGATATTTCAGTATGAAAACAAAATAAATGAAATATCAAACTCAGCAACTAATGAAGCTGCTCTTGAAAAAATGCTATTCAAGATTATCAATCTTTGGAACACTACTCCTTTACGTGTAGTTCTTCATCACACAGAGAAGTACTCTATCCTAATAATTTCATCTAATTTCATAGATGATATATTTGCTCAGTTAGAAGAATCTCAAATCTTACTTGCAACAATTAAAGGATCTCCCTATCTCGAACCCATTAAGGTAAATTTTATGGCAAAGATAAAATGTTTTTATTCTCTACAGTTTCTCACTTTAATTTTTCCATCCTACAGTTTTGCACTTGCTTTTAAATTACATAAGTCTTTCTTATGCTTAAATAGAAGTGAGAATGAATATTTAATAGTTTGAATACTAAAAGTATTTTTTGGGGAACATTAATTATTCATGAGGAAGTGTCAGAATGTTTAATTGGGACAGAAAAGATAAATTTAGATCATATAAAAATATGACCCTACAAGCCATGACTTTTTACCAGCGGTGTTCAGTATATCCTGATAATTCTTCAGTGAGTAGCCACACATAAATATCTAAAAAATCATTTTAAACTTCAAGAAAATCAATAAGATGTGATAATATAAATATTTAATAATAAAATTAAGATAATAGATCATATATATGTACATAAATCTATATAAATATATTGACATATAGAGTTTCAGAGAATGTATACACTGAACAAATAGAAATTACATTATTCAGAAATACACAAATGTTTAGAGAAAGTGTCAGTTAGGTGGGCCTTAGAGAGAAAACTCAATGAATTACAAAGAAGGGATAAGTCAAATAGCTTACATGGTCTATTAATGTGGAACAACAACAACAAAAAAAATGAGCCACAGAAAAATAGCAAAACAACAACAAACAAAAAAGAAAAATATACAGAAAAATTTAAAAATAAAAATAACCACCTGGATGAGTATGGTGGCACCCCTGTGTAATCTTAAGTATTTGAAGATGAAGGCAGGAGAAACATGAGTTTGAGGTCAAGATGGAAAACAGCAAAACTTTGTCTTAAAAAAAAAAAAATCTGAATATGCAAGAAATGTAATCCAATTTTTTTAACTTAGAAATAAGCAACAAGGAGAAAATTACATATTAAGCCTTGTGACAATTGAAAAGAGCCCTATGAAAATGAATATTTAGAGCATTAAATGCCTTAATTAAAAAGTAAAAATAAAGTTAATAAATGATAAATTAGACACATTTGAGAAGCTGGAAATTCAAATAATTCCTTGAAAAATAGAAATTATTAAAGCTCAATCAAGAAGAAATAGATATCTAGGTGTGGTGGCACGTGCCTGAAATCCCAGTGGCTTTGGAGGCTGAGATAGGAGGGTCACAATTTCAAAGGCAACCTCAGCAACTTAGTGAGGCCCTAAGCAACTTAGTGAGAACCTGTCTCTAAATAAAATATTAAAAAGGACTGGGGATGTGGCTTAGTAGTTAAGTGCCCCTGGGTTTAATCCCCAGGAAAGATAGAAAGGAAGAAAGAAAGAAAGAGAGAGAGAGAGGGGAGGGGGGGAAGATGGCGGCGAATGGAGTGCATCACCCCCGTGTACCGCATCACTGCGCGGGTGAATAACGAGTTAGAATGGCCAAAAGCTATCTTGTTAGAAATTTCCAGCAAAACTGGGGTGCACTGAAACCTAGAGGAAGGATTTCCATCACCCGAGGATCGGTTACTGGGGCTCAACCGTGAGTGAACTGTCCGCCCGGAGATTCAAGCTGCTTGTTCAGTGGCCCACCCCGCTGCTAGAGACTGCGGCACGCAAGGAAACGGCGTGCCTAGAAACGGTGTGCTAGTAACGCAGAGAAACTGTGCTGCAGATTCTGTGGGTTCCTGCCGGCTGTGCCCTCACTGTGCTCTGGGCTGAGTTCTGGGTTTGAGACAGGGGAAGGAAGCGGTCCAGTTCTGTCCTCCACACCGGACAGCTCACCGAGGAAGCCAGCGGCCACCATCTTAGAGAGCTGACGTCACCATCGCCAGTTTTCGACAGATTGCAGCTCATTCAGCGATAGAACAGGTGTGTGTCATTTAGACCATCTTCCATATAGCGGGGAAATCGCATAAAATCTCTCCCAGGCTTTCCGGGGGCGTGATTAACAGAGTGAGCGTGAATAGAGGCGTGGGGAAAGGTAAAGGCACCTGACCTCCAACTCCCCCCTCCCACCAGCAGCGAAAACAAAACCTGTCTTGCCAGCTCTCGGAGGAGGGGCTAGCGGAGGGAATCAAAACAATAAGGAGCCAGTTCCCAAAATCCGCGCTCCACATCCAGGAAACTGCAGGCCCAGAGTGTAGCTTGAACTGCCAAGAGGTATCACACTGGGAAAGACCTGGCTGGCAGGAGAAGCCAGGGGACTAGAGACCAGGAATAAACCTAAGCTAACAGGTTTTGAGAGACACGGGGGGGGGGGGGTGTAGGCGGGAGCGGCCTCACACGGATTGTTTCCTACAGCCGGAGGGCAAAATCTTGGCCTGAAAGGCACAGCACCATCTCCTGGAAGCGAAGAAAATAGAAGCCTAACAGTGCCCCTTTTTTTTTTAATTTTTAATTTTTTAATTTTAATTTTTTTTTCTTTTTTATAATTATATTATTATTTTTTAATTGTAATTTTTATTTTACTGCATTTTATTATTATTTTTATTATCATTTATTTTTCTTTTCTATTCTTTTCTCTTTCTATCCTCTCTCCCTCTCTCTTTCTTGGTTTGCTTCCTTACCTTTAACCCATCTTTCCTCTTAAGCATGACCACCCAGATTATGTACAACTTACTAAATGCAAATAGATGAATACTACGAATTGGTCTATAGTCCGCCTAAGCCCTTAACTACCCCCAAGTACTCCTGTTTATTCTCTTGTTAATATCCGCCTGCATTTGAGCAACCCCCCAAAGAAGCTAACATATACTAACCTCCATACCATCAAATCGCCCGACCTCAACATAAAATCCTAAGTTCAAACCTCAATTCTATATATGCCATCAAAATATGTAGGCCTTTAATGAAACTAATGAATATACCTTAAATCACAATTAAATCCAACATCTCTAAACATTGTCTCCCAACACAAAGGAGATATTGGAACTATAAAAACCAAAACAAATTTAAAGAAGAAAACAGAAAAACAGCAGTCAAACAGAGTTGGAAAGTAACGTGAGCACCATGAAAAAAAAAAAAAAAAAAAAAAACAAGGGAAAAAAGGATTACAAACAATGCAGGACAACTTAAATTCACAGGAGAACCTAGAGGCATCAGAAAAATGGACAGAGAAAGAACTCAAGGCATACCTAACTCAGATGGAACGGAATCTTAGAGAAGACTTTAAACAGCAAGTCCAAACAATGAAAGTATACTTTGAAAATGAATTACATAAGCAAATTCAAATAGCAAAGAATGAGCTCTACCAGGAGATAGAGATTTTAAAAGAAAACAAAGTAATCCTAGAAATGCAGGAAACCATAAACCAAATTAAAACCTCAAACGAGAAATTTACAAATAGACTAGATCAAATAGAAGTCCGAACATCAGATAATGAAGACAAAGTTTATCATCTTGAAAAGAATATAGTCAACACAGAAAGGATCCTAAGAAATCACGAGCAATCCATCCAAGAGATATGGGATGTCATAAAAAAACCAAACTTGAGAGTCATTGGAATAGAAGAAGGTGTAGAGGTTCAAACCAAAGGAATGAACAATCTATTGAATGAAATAATCTTAGAAAACTTCCCAGATATGAACGTTGGAATGGATTGCCAAATCCTGGAAGCCTACAGGACCCCAAACATACAAAACCGTAATAGATCAACTCCAAGACACATAATTATGAAGATATCCAACATACAGAACAAGGAGAGAATATTAAAAGCTATGAGAGAAAGGAGGTAGATTATATTCAGGGGTAAACCAGTTAGGTTAACAGCTAATTTTTCATCACAGATGTTGAAAGCAAGAAGATCCTGGAACAACGTATTTCAAACGCTGAAAAATAATGGATTCCAACCAAAAATACTGTATCCAGCAAAATTAAGCTTCAGATTTGACAATGAAATAAAAATATTTCATGATAAACAAAAGATAAAAGAATTCATAGCCAGAAACCCAGCACTGCAAGGCATTTTGAGCAAAACACTACAAGAAGAGGAATGAAAAACAGCACCCAAAACTAACAGTGGGAGGTAACTCAGGAAAGGGAAGAAAAAAAGTAACCAAAAAGGAAAAACTAGCCAAATTAAAATAAATAAATAAATAAGCATGACTGGAAGTACAAACCATATATCAATAGTAACCTTAAATGTTAATGGCTTAAATTCACCAATCATGAGACATAGGCTAGTAACCTGGATTAAAAAAACAAATCCAACAATATGCTACCTTCAGGAGACTCATATGATAGGAAAAGACATACACAGGCTGAAGGTGAAAGGTTGGGAAAAATCATACCACTCACATGGTCCTCAGAAGCAAGCAGGAGTGGCCATACTCATATCGAATAAAATCAACTTCAAACCTAAGTTAATCAAAAGGGATAAAGAAGGACACTATATACTGTTAAAAGGAACCATCCACCAACAAGACATAACAATTATCAATATGTATGCACCAAACAATGGTGCTGAGACGTTCATAAAACAAACTTTCCTCAAGTTCAAGAGTCAAATAGACCACAACACAATAATTATGGGTGACTTCAACACACCGCTCTCTCCATTGGACAGATCCTCCAGACAAAAGCTGAATAAAGAAACTATAGAACTCAATAACACAATCAATAACCTAGACTTAACCGACATATATAGAATATATCAACCATCATCAAGTGGATACACATTCTTCTCAGCAGCACATGGATCCTTCTCAAAAATAGACCATATATTATGCCATAGGGCAACTCTTAGTAAATATAAAGGTGTGGAGATAATACCATGCATCTTATCTGATCATAACAGAATGAAACTGGAAATCAATGATAAAAGAAGGAAGGAAAAATACTGCATCACCTGGAAAATGAACAATATGTTACTAAATGATGAATGGGTTACAGAAGACATAAAGGAGGAAATCAAAAAATTCTTAAGAGATAAATGAAAATACAGACACAACATATCGGAATCTATGGGACACAATGAAAGCAGTTTTAAGAGGGAAATTCATTGCCTGGAGTTCATTCCTCAAAAAAAGAAAAAACCAACAAATAAAT